AAGTTACTGGCACATATGTTTTTTTACTGTATCAAATCATGTGCTTTTAGGGGGCTTTAAATGTCTTTATATCCAGTACGTGCATAGACACATAAAAATATAACATCTTCTGCAATAACTGTACATCTTAAGAATGATATCGCTGGGACAGGAGTCAAGATATGAGTTATACATATAATGTTAAATAGAAGGGACATTAATCAGAGACATGTGTCCAAAAATAGATGGAAAAGTAAAAGACAGTAAAGCTACAATAAGCTTGTTTCAACGATATAGTGTTTTGTTTGTGAGAGTTTTTTAAATTCATAATTAGTTCATTGTTTGCAACAGGTCTACTGTCAGTTGTTTGAAGGAAGGTACGCTTTATGTTTCTGCTTTTATTTGTTTATCAGCTGCTAGTCTGACTTCAAAACAGATTACCAGAAAAGAAAAGGCTTTAGCTGTGACAGAGCCATGAATTCTGGGTAAGAAGGTAGGACAGGATGGAGGGACAGGTTGGCAGAACTTTCACCCAGGAGGCCATCCATCCATCCATTGTCTCTACACCGCTTAATCCTCACTGGGGTCGTGGGGGGGCTGGAGGCAACGGTGCTAACCACCGAGTCACCTTGCAGCCCCCAGGAGGCCATGTTGGGCCAATATACCTATACTTAAGATCCATTCTCACTATTTGTTTACTTTCCCTTTTCACTCACTGTGTGGTTAGATTTAGGTTCCAAAGCTATGTAGTTAGGTTCAGAAAAATCATGCTTTGGTTAGCACTTTCACAATGTTAAGTACATGTACAAGCTTAGTTAATATTAGGCATCAAAACTATTTGGTTTTAGAAAATATCATGCTTTGGTTGACATGTGACTGTTTAAGATGTTTAAAGCTTCTCCTTCATTCACCAGGCTGGTGAGTCCCACCTCATCTTATATGAAGGACTGGTTGGCTGAAAAGGAGCAACAAAACATGTGCTGATTTAAAACACATGCACCAAAAACAAACGTAATCCGCCAGAAAATTTCTTTACCAAAGTATAATTGACAAAGCATTTCTGTATGGGTCGATTGAAGTCACCTGACTGGCTCTCACAACCCTCCTCCCAACCAGGATTGGATGATGGTTGTGAGAGGGTTTTTCATGAAAGGGGTCCCCAGTGATTACCACAAATAAATTCAGCGCCACACAAGGTTCACAATCTTTTTTGATCAGTAAGATTTAGAAGTTCAGGAGGTCTGCATGTCCATTATCTGAGTATTGGATGCTGCACTGGACAGAGACGTAGATGGAAGTGCTGTAGAGGACTTGCGTTGGCCTTCGATAGTCTGACGACTTGTCCAGGGTGGCCCCCAAAGTCAGCTGGGATACACTCATGGATGGATGGATGGATGGACTCGGGTTGGACCCATGTAGTACGTTATGAGCGAAGACATAGATTTGACCACTGACCGACAGTGTCATATGAATTTGTCTAATACTGTATAAGTTGAACATGCGTTTTTAGACCCACATTATGTGCACATTGGCTGTTTGAAAAAGGTATTTTTGATTATGTATATGAGCCAGAGTGTATTAGTTGTTGGAGGCACCAGGCAAAGTATCTGGCGGAACATGAGAAGTGTGGAACAAGATCAGAAGAAAACATTTTGTTTATTAAAAACAGCTGACGAAGGGAGGGTATACGTTTTCTACTATGTGTGTGTTCAACTTGAAACAAACAGCCAAACGTTACCCCCAACCCTGCACTCATATAACGGAGCTGAAGAAAGCTGTAAAACTGGCTTCACTGGCACAAACATGTTCTAAAGCCTGGATGTTGAACATGCTGACAGATTGAAGGATGCATTTACAGTTTCACTAACAAAAAGGGCAAGAAGAGTTTAAAAGGTGTCACATCCAAAACACAATATATATGTATATGTAAAAGAAATGATGTCCATAGCAGGAGTCTTGGGTGTGTAATAGTATGGTGTTAAGTTTGCTATAATTAGCAAGACCACACATACTCTACGTCTTTAGATAAAAGCTTCCTCTTCAAGTCATGGCTGAAGTGATAATGGAGGAATCAGTTGGCCATCTGTGCGACATCATGTGTTTACTGACAGACATTAGCTCTGTATTGGCATCAGTCGCCTGGTTTCCACGGTCGGGCTTTGTGTATTTTTGGATCAAACAGGGTCCTGGTTATTCTGGTTATGAGGTCATTAGATTAGGTGGGTTTTGGAGACACAGAGTCCTTTATTAGAATTCTGTGACAATTGAAAGAAATAGCTTTTTCTTTTTGTATTGGTGAATTACATACACAACAGATGTTTTCTGATATTTTGTCTGAAATGATGATGACAAAATTGAGATTTTTGTTTCTCTATCCCTTTCAGTAACTAGTCTCAAACACTTTTTTAAAACGGTTTTGCTGGCTGAATGTCTAAATAGTCATCTTTCACTCTGCTTTTTGTTCGAGTTGCTTGTCTTTTTATCTGCATGTGATGAGGATAGGGCAGAGTCACTCATTGGCTGGCAGTTGCTTTACTCACGGCAGAAGACACATTTATGAAGGACATACCTGTGCTGTGCTGTAAAGATGCCATTTAAATTGCATAAACACAGGTGAATCTATTTAAAGTGGCTGGTGTTGCACACGTCAAGGCAATTAGATATTTATACAACAGAGCGAAGACTGAAGCCTTACAAATATGCACACTCGCCACAAAATACCTTATTTTACCTTACCTTAATAATACCTTCTAGCAATTGTTGTGCTATTTCCGCTGAGGTGCCAGCCTTTAAAGTGTGTTGAAAAATTAGGCCACAATGAGTAAAAAAAAAAATTTTTTTAAGTACCCAGTGCAAAAAACGCTTTATTCCTCACATTCACTAAATCAATATGATGTTTACAGTAAAAGAAAACTCAAACACAAGCTTTGTGCCACCTCACTCTCTCTGATTTATGTATTTACCTTTGAGCACACACACGTTTGAACACACAAAGCTAGCATGTTAGTTGATATATGATTTGATTTTGGAAAACACTTTGAAACTGCCGACACACGGCTGCACTGTTTGGGCAGTGGGAGTGCTTCAGCCTCTGTCTGCGAGTGGGTCTGCAGGAGGTCTGCCAAGAGAGGTTTACAGTCTCCCACCAGGCAGGGGGAAGGGTTTGCTTTCTGGTAAGAGTGCTAAACCATGTTCCCCCTTCAGGTTAGACCCCCATGCCACTCGGCTTCAAACGCTCTGCCCTTTCTCAGAACTCGCCGTGCATGTGGCAGGAGGGAGGGATGAAGGGGGAGCCCGAGAGAGGGGGGAAACAGGAGTGAAGTTTGACGGGAATACCGGCACCTCAAGTTACCATTTAGTTAAATAATGCCAGAACACACGCACCCACACATGCACTGACACACCCATGCGGGAATTCATATCACACACACACACACAGGGCCGCACCACGTGGCCTGCCAGGGTGCTATTAATACCAGCCCTGAGGATGCAAGTCGTGCCTCCTATTTGCATTTCAAATACGTCCTTTATTCCATCATCCAAATAGTGATGCTTTAAAGACATTTGGCGCCGCATTAAACGCTCGGCGCCTTCAGGTTCTGTTCTAAAATCCTAAAAAGATCGTTGTATGTACCAGCATGCACGATAAACATATCCATTTACAATTACGTGCACACGCTCACATACTTTCTGCAGGTGGTCCAAGGCTGTTTGGTTCCTTTTGCTTTCCTTCAATAACTACCATCAGGTTTTGGTTGAAGTCTCAGGTTCAAGCCAAGTTAACCGCATGTATTTTGACAGACCTGATATTGGACTGTATGAGCCCTCCTACCTCCCCTCCATCCCTTTTAAGGGCCCCTTGGATGCATTGGTTCCATCTTGAAGTGGTTCCTAGCGTGAAGGTCCAGACAGATGTTTGTATCTTTTTGATAATCAATGTGGGAAGACATGCTGAGGGAGGGAACCTAATACACCAGCATGAAGGCGATATGATACTGTACAGTGTGATTAAACGTATACAGTATGAATCTATTGAAAAAAATACTTTTCCCTCTCGAGGTAATATTAAGAAAATTTCTTCTTTTTTTTCCCGTTTTTGCAACAACGTTGGAGGACAAACCTTTAGATCATCCGACACACGAGTTAATCATTTTAGGGTTAAGGGTGGAGACATGGTTGGGGAATAGCATTAATTTTATGGCTTTCATCGCCAGTGATTTGCAGCAGCAGGCCTTTGGCACAGTGACACAAATGGACAAACATACTGTATCATATTATTTATCATTTGGTTTTCTGGTCTAACAAGAAATGTGGTTGCTGGTCCGTGGCTGTGCTGTTTAAATTTGCGTGGCGGGGTGGGAAACCAGAGGTGCAGTGTATGGTGCAGTTATTTTACTGTGATATCGGTTTGACAGAAGTCACTATTGCCTCATTCCCAAGAAACTTTTACATGTTCAGTTTCTTAGAGCTGTAACTTTATCAGTGTGTCATCTGACTTAAATTTACTTGCCGCCATTCTGCACATCATCAGCCTGCTTTTCTAACCCCCCTTGCACCTGTTTTTCCATTCTGATTGTTGCAGAACTTTTACCTAAAAAACTGCATATTTGAAGTTTAAATATTTTCTAAATGTGATAACAGGGATGCTTCGGCAGTCCACCTTCCAGCTCGTAGGAAAACCTGCTTCGTGTTAGCAAGAATCAAACAAAAGTTTCTTGATTTTTCTGTTTAACGAGCAATCGTACCTGATGGCCTCATGCTGAAGCAGCTGTATCATATCAAACAATTATCAGATGCTGACAAAAAAACAGAAAATTCCTTCCTTTTTCCAACTCATGAGGCTTCATGTTGTTCTTTTGGCTTGTAAAACATAGACCCAGCTCTGCTGTTTGCACAAAATAATGTTTAACTCCAACAAGTGGGTATAGTAACAGTTTCGCACTGACAATTGAGTATGACGAGTGAGTATATTTTTACCGCTTTACAAATTACACTTCTTGTCTTTCTCGTTCTCTCGCCAGATGATTCCAGTTCAAGAAATGGAGCAGGGACAGCCACCGGTGACTCTGAACACACCCCAGAGCTGGCAGGGAAACTGGGTAAGCGCTCATAACTTCTGATCTCATCACGATTTGAAAATGAGCAAGAAGCCCAGAAGTGACACTTGAGATATCTGAGATTTTAAAACGTACAGTAGCAGATTGTACAATAAACACCTTGGAGAAGGTGAGGGTACGAGCCCACACACAGCCACTCGACAGGGTGGCTGTTTGTGTAAGTAATTGGCTCTGACAGAGTGGAGAGCAGTCTATTTGTGTTAGGTGTGATTTGGTGGGACACATTCCTTCCTTTCCCCCTCCCAAGTCTCCCTGGACCCTCTTGTCACATAACCTAACCTTTCTTTCTCTGCTTGTTGTCCTTTTAATAAGCCCTTTCTCCCTCCCTTCTCTCTCTTTTGGCTATCAAAAATGTTGATGCACACACTCTTTTAATACACTCTTGTTTGTTTGTTTTTACACATTTGTACTCAGTTAAACCTACACGTTGACTAATTTTGGTTTTACACACACACAGATAGCCACATACATTCTTGTTTTTACATCCTTGCAAGCACCTTTCATTGCATGTCATCTACACTGACTACCATAAATTATCTTAACCACAGGTATTAACACAACCACTTAACCGTTTCCACAGTAAGCTGAGTCACTTTCTATTCTGCAGGTAAATGATGATACTGACACCACTCTTATGTCTGTGACTTAAGTGTGTAGGCAGTTAGTTTAACTGCATAAATATAGACATTTATCACAATAAAATGTTATTTTAGTGTTGATATTGCTGGTTGTTTCTAATTCTAAAAGTTTTACTACCTTACTTTCAATCTATCAAGGCACACAGGCAACAACTTTAACTTGAACATAACAATGAAACACTTAAATAAAATAATAAAATAAAATAAATACGCCTAAATGAATTATTTCACCTTTATACATGCTAGATAAAGAAAGCAAAAGAAATAAGCTTTGCGGTAAACTTCTACAAATTAGTCCTTGGTTTGTTTTTTTTTTTAAAACAATTTTCTCTCCTGTTTCTTGGTTGAATAAGTCACAAAGTCCCTATTGTTTCACAAAGTACTGCACATAAAAATAAACTGCACAACATGTTCCGTCCAAATATATTTGTTTCTCTCTGTGTGTTGAAGAGTAATCTGGTTTTGAAATTTCAGTGGATTTCTTCATTATCTCCACACGTATTGCTGGCGTGAAATTCTATTTTGTATGCGCAAACACAAAACAATGAATATGCCTCTCATTGAAATGATAATGAGGATGCAAAGCTATGGCGACAAGACAACCAAAGGTGTTTATGTAGGCAGTGGCAAAGTCTGAGGGAAATTGAGAGCCCCTTGTTTGGAGGGTTGGAGCAAACATGTTCCTCGCCACCTCTGCAAGTAGGCTACTATGTGGGACTGCTTCACTAAAATAATAAGTTATTTCCATTCAGCACTCGACACATAGTTTTCTCACATTTGTAGCTCATTCAGTATCCTGCCATCATGGCTCCAATATCGCCAGATTCCAGACAATCTCCGCGACACAATTATAAAGAGATATCTCTAGTCTCAGCATTTAAGATAAGATACAAGTAAAGGCATACGGATTTGATATTATGCAATATTTCTTTTCTTTTATACAAAAGCTATTCTTTAAAACAACTGCAAGTGTTATCACACAACATGTTGAAAGATCTGGATAGTCTAGACTGTTCTGATAAAAACAAGATACAGCATGTATGACTAGCCCTTGTAATGACCAAGATAAGAGCTTGAAAGTAAAAGCAGAGAAATTATCCTGAAAATAGGGTTCACAGGGTTAACTGCCTCCTGGCTCCATATTTACTTCACAGACGTGGAAATAAAATCAATCTTAAACTAAAAAGTTGTAACCCAGCTCCAAATCCAGACCTAAATCTTCAACTCAACATGAAGATAAACAAATTCTTACTTCAACACTTGCACAAATCCTCACCAGAGCTACTTGAGTCAAGACGAGACAGAATTACCTCAGTTTTTAAAAATCTCCACTATCTTAGTATCTAAAATCCTTGCTGGATTTCACGAGGCTGTTCCTCTCACACTCCCTCTCTTCCTCTCTGTCTGTCTCTGGCACACCGTCTGATCAAAGGCAGTCCGTCGGAGGGTCAGCAGTATTTTTACACTGTGAAGTGTGGCGTTGAAGTGGCCCCTGAGACCCAGAACAAGGCTGCCCTTTCGCTCACTCTGGCTCTCACCTTCTCCCCTCTTCCCTCTCTCTGTCGCCGCTTTTTCAGTCCGCCCTTGCGTCTCCTCTCTCTCTGTTTTTCTTTCTTTGGACTTCCTCGTGTGCCCCCTCTTTTACCTTTTTGCTTTTTATTGTTTTAACTCAGTCTCTTTGTTCTCCATTTTTCTGCCATCACTTCAAGTTTTATTTGTCTTCTTTCAGTAATCTGTCAGTCTTTCGTAGGTGCTAACCCTAATATGAACTTCACTTGCTCTTTTTCCATCTGTTTTCTTCTTTACTTTTGTTTGATTTGGTTCAGCTTAGGCAGCATAAATCAGTTGATTTCAGTTACACCTTGCTGTGTTCAGTCTTTATCCAGTCCAGTTTTGCTGTGCTTTACTTTGGCTCCTCTGTTCTCTTTACATTTAATTTCAGTCTAAGCCCATGCATCAGCTGAATTTATGTAATTATCAAAGACAGACTTTAAACTATGAATCAGTGTCTCACCTACTACTTTTCTGTAGATCTATTGGCTCTGTCTGGTCACAGTTTAGCTGTAGTCCAGTAGCTTTTCTCAGACTCAGGGGGCACTAAGGCACGACTTAAAAGCCTTTCCGGTGTGTTTGTTTTGTCATCCTGCCCAGCTTCAGGCCTGTCGGCAGAGAGCTATAGTCCGCTGAGTAATGCAGCTGGAGTGAAATCTCCAAATTTGAGCTCACAAACCCGTCACATAACTCTTCCCCCTGTTTGTTTACCCAGAGCTGGAATAATAACTGTGTCCAAAAGAAAGAGATGCAACTGCAGTAGTTTGGGGGTGATTTATCGTCCCGGTTGATGGCTATCTGCTGTGGCGAGAACACAAGGGCCATAAAATCAAGCGTTCCTTTGAATGATTTCCTCTCCTCCCTCCCTACTGGATTGTTTTTTCCGTCTTTGTTCTGTTTTCACTGATTGTTGTGTTTTTAAAGAGACTGTGTATGAATAACTTGTGGATTTAGATTGAGTCGGTGGCCAGCCTTTTAATTTGTATGGAGGAATATGTAACTTTGAAATGCTTAATGAGTTTAGCTGTGCAACTGGTGGAGGGATGTGGGTGTTTGAATAGGTGTATGGGGTTAACTTATCATTTTAAGCTTCATAAGAGAGTATTTACATGAGGTTAATGGATGTTTGGTGTGATGCTAGGTCACTGTCTGGCTTTTTATGACTTCATAACCTAATATATAAAGTTATGTTAGATAGGTATTTGGCAACTTTCTGGTTTTTACAATGGTTTCCTTTGGATACTTGATTTGAGGTGAAATACATAGCTTCTTGTAGAGCAGGAGAGGGCTGTAAATGGGGCATGAGGGAAACTGGATCAGTGGAAAATAAGGTATTCAGTGTGTTTTTTTGTGCATGTGTTTGTATGTGTGTGTGTCCCAGGGCATGTAAGTGCTCTACATCAGGGAGAAGAGGAAGTGATTCAAAAAGTTTCTCAAACAAAACAACCATGGTTTATTACAGTAAATTAGATTGTATATACCAAGAGGCACGCTGCCATATGTTGTCGCAGCACAACATGGAATTCCTGGTCCGCCTGCAGCAGTGACCTCAGCCTGTGTGTCACTCCTCACGCTGATAAAAAATAAAAAAAGTCCTTTTTTAGTCTTGCATTCAGTCCTTAAGTTCCCTCAAATCTCTCTACATGCTGAGAATATTCAATTTGTTCCATTTTTCTTGTTTACAAACTTCATAGAAACACGTGTCAGTGTGTAGTAAGAAGTAAAAACAGGGTGTTTTTCACGCCATGCATGAAGCGTGTTCATGCTTAACCTGAAAGGGACCCTGTTGCATGCAGATGCAGATTATCAATGACTGAGAATAAATGGATTTCATGGTGCGTAGTGGAAGGTTATGCACCACTGCAGAATATTTGTGCTGCAGAAAATTTGTTTGTAATCACGTTAGTTGCTGCAGATGCCTGCGTGCACAAACAAGGGTTCAAACAGCCAAACATCCAATTTAGTAACTAGGAGACAAGAACACACAGTTCATCAATCCAAATAAACAGGCGTACATTGTGAGTGATAAGAAGAGTTTCTAAAAGCCCCAAGGACCCTATGGAGAGTACACAGTGCTCCATCCTGAAGCGGGAGTTGGTATTTTGCAGCAGCATAGTTTTATTTCTATAGTTTCAAAAAGGGTAAAGGACTAGAAATAGAAAGTAGGTAAAAAGTACAATCAAGGCAGTCTTCGACATTAAGAAGTTTTTCTTTCCTAGTATCAACAATAGCTTCTTTTTTTTTTTTTTTTTTTTGAAGTGAAGAGCTAATAAAAACTGTAACTCGGGAGGCCTGAAACATTTCTGAACCCTCTTTCTGTGTCACAGTCTTTTCAGATAACATGGCTTTGATTGCTCCGTACGTCTAATAAAAGTGTCACATTGGAATCTTCAATAAATTCCACCTTTTTCCTCAATCTGTTCTCCTTTCACTGGTCTGAAGAACAGAAGACTGCTTGTAAATATAAACCTGCTCCATAAACCGTTTACCTCGACTAATAACTGTCTGTTCTTTTCTTTCCTTTCCCACCCCTCCTTCTTTCCACCTGCAGCTGACTAGGAGGGAGAAATAAAGTTTCTGCGTGTTATCTAGCTCTTTGCAGTCGCATTTTTATTACGGTTTCTTTTATCCAGAACGACCTTAAATCAAACTCCTGTTTTCGACAAATAGCCAATATAACATCTGTTCAAATGCTAGATGTCTACCTAATTAGTTCTTCTTCCTGTACTTGCAGTTCGTCCACGTTTTACCCAGCCGGCAAAGATGAGGAAACGTGTCATTGCACGCCCAGTAGGCAGCTCTGTGCGCCTGAAGTGCACGGCAAGCGGTAACCCTCGCCCCGACATCGTCTGGCTGAAGGACGACAGGCCACTGATGGATGAGGATGGTGGAGCAGTATCAGGAGGAGAAGGGAAGAAGAAGAGGTGGACTCTGAGTCTGAAGAACCTGATGCCGGAGCACAGCGGGAAGTACACCTGCCACGTCTTCAACAGAGCAGGAGAGATCAACGCCACCTACAAAGTGGAAGTCATACGTAAGTGCATTCTACAGAGAAAAACTAGCCGCTCAGTCTCATCAGATCAGATCAGCTATCAAACCAGAAAAAGGTGATGCCGGTCAGCATTAGCCTAAAAACATCGTCCATAAAACAGCAGACTTTCTGTAGAGGTATCAGAAAAGTGTTGCTGTTCTCATAAACAGGGAAAATAATCACAAGTCCTTATTGTTATTATGTGGTGCATTAAAGCAATCTCCTCCAAGATTCACGTACAAGCTTTTTCCGGAGGTGTCAACCTGTATCAAACAGGTTTCATCAGTAAGTTATTTATTTTCTTGAGCAGAGTTTTTGGTACAGCCTCGTGTTGTATAATACCTCAAACGTAATTGCTAAGAAAATGAATATTTAATAACGCAGTGATGAATGGAGTTGGAGTGTATATCAAATTATTATTATCCTCAGAATTCTTCATCATACCTTCCACACTGTTATTAATGTTTGAAAGAACGACTTTTGTTAAGACCTCTGGATGAGTTAAAGACACAGCAGAATGCTATACTTCACTGATTCCTACATACAGATGTTGCCATCAACAACACAAGATCAGCTCCGTCTGTTTTGGACACTGATCTTAAAATAAAGTTTATAGAAGTTTTCTTTTTTTTTTTTCTGGAAGTAGAGCTGCAACTGGCTTTTCATTTTTCATTGGTAATTACTACCCTACAGAGGACTAAGCAGTCTATAGATAATGGATAGGTGGATTGTTAATGCATGAATAAATTTCTTGTTTAATTTATATAATGATATAAAATATTGAAATTCCAGGTGATATGAAATCCAATGTGGCACAACAAATTGCTCCTTTTGTCTAACAAACAGTCAAACCCAAAGATACTCTCTTTACAATTGGATAAGAGAGAAGGCTTGTATGCCATTGAGCTGATGAAGTTGTTTGTCTCATTCTTTGACTATTAATATTTTGGTTAAAAATTGTGTTCTACACTATTTTTAAAAGGTGTAGCATCCTAAAAAAGTTCCAAAAAAAATTAAATGCATGTAAGCTATGGCTGCATGTGGTCATTTCATGCCGTGACACTTCAGACCACACATTTGTGGAATTATGGTGAGTTGTCGAGCGTTCCTGCTTGTATATGCTCCACCAGCAGGAATGCTTCTCACCCAAACAATAATATACATCACGCTGTACACAGTATGTATATTATTGCTTTAGCGAGAGGCCTGTGTGCCTAAATGGCAGGGTCTGAAACGGGTTTTGTTTCCAGTCTGACTCACAATACGATGATTATGTAGAACGTGTAAGATCATATGCTCAGGAACACCATAATTAACTTTTCAAGCATTTGAATGATTTGTTGGCAAAGAGTCTGGTGCCAGGGAGCGATCTCTGACTCTCGGAAAGGAGTGTAGACTTGCACTTTGAAGAGTAAAAGTCCTGAAGTCATATAGCCATCAGCAGATTTCGGTTACACTATCTATGCTGTATGTTTAAAGTGTAGTAGCAACGGTAGATGAAGATACTGTGGAAATCTTGTGTTAATTATGTCTTTTAGGTTTAGGAGCTGCACCAAGAATACAAGTTTAAAATAGCTTTTAAAGGCCTTCTTTCAGTGTTCACCTCCAGCGCTGTCAATGAACATAATTCAAGCAGGCAAGAAATGTTTAGCTGGATTTTTCAGTTCAGAAGGTGAGCCAGCCGCAGTTTGAGTCTAAAAAAGGTCTAGTTTTACTGTTGAGAGCAGAATGTGTGTTATGATGACCTGTGGGTGTTTTTTGATGTAGTAGGTTGCACTGGAAGGCTGCAAAAAGCTGTTTTGGCACCGAATGATTTAATGTTGAGCTAGTTGGTGTGGAGTCGGTGTTGAACGTGTGTGTATGCGTGCGCTCAGCTGTGTGCAAATAAATGTTATAGCTCTGTTGAGAGGCTCAAACTAGCTCTCCTGACTCTCGCTTTACTTGCCACATCTGTTCTATATTAAACTACAGCTGTAGTCTTTCCTGAAAGGCGGTAACACTCTCACACATGCACACACACACACACAAATGAAAAGGAAGTAAATCAAACCGCTGCTTGCTTGTGTCAAATGTGACTTTTTCTCTATCAGTGGAGATTCAATCAGCTGTCATTCATGCACAGCTGTTGGAAAGAAAACAAAGAGGGACTCCATGTCGGAAAGCCAATAAAACATATACAATCGATAAGTGGAGATACTTGAGTTCCAGTACATAAATTATTACTCGTGGTTGCACAGATTTCACACCTTTTTGATCTCCACGTCAGCTGGATGAATTATGGTTTCCTTTTTCCATTTTGAGTGTATCCTAACAGATGCATTCAAGACATGCTGTGACTACATGATCTGTCTTAAATAGTGAGGCAACACCTGTACAGCAAAGTCTGTTACTCTGCACTGAAAACAACCAGGAAAGCTGCAAGAGTTTCAAACCTGCTGCCTACGACTGTACAGCTCCTATACATTTGTAACTACACCTCAAAAATCTGTTTTCACTCCATGTTTTTGAATTGAACAGCCAAAGCTTTCTTTTTAAATGACTAAAGACTAGTAATGTCAATCAGAAGAGAAGAATCTAACTCATGTCATGTTATTAATAGATGCTGAAAAGGAAGCCGTTAAATGTCTCTGCTTTACAAACTTAGAAAGAAACAGGAGCCGAAGGGAAGAGAGCTGTTTATATATCTTCATTAAAGAGGAAAGAGTTGTGCTGAATAAAGCAAATAATATTTAAAAATCATGTTATAATTCTCTCAGGGCTGGTACATAATTTTTCAATTCTGTTCAAATAAATTGAGATAAAAGAACACATACTCTCCTGTTTTAATTGCAGATGATTTTGACAAGTTTGCAAAATGTAACGATCAAACCATTGCTTCTATTCTTTTTTGTCTTTTTTCTTTTTTTATTGAAAATCTTTCTGCCTGTGTCTGTGTATTTGACCATTTTATATCTCTTACTTCAGAGCGCACCAGCTCCAAACCCATCCTGACCGGTACTCACCCCGTTAACACCACTGTGGACTACGGAGGAACCACGTCTTTCCAGTGTAAAGTTCGCAGTGATGTCAAGCCGGTTATCCAGTGGCTTAAAAGAGTAGAACCTGGCGACGAGAACAAATTTAACTCCACCATAGAGGTACAGAGCCCCTGAGACACATTATGGTTTATTCGTAATATCAGACTGAAATAACTTTATCTGTCTTTGTTCAAAGGTGGGAGACCATCGCTTCGTGGTCCTGCCTACAGGAGAGGTTTGGTTTCGTCCTGATGGAGCCTACCTCAACAAGCTGCTGATAACCAGAGCCAAGGAGGAAGATGCTGGCATGTACATCTGCCTGGGAGCCAATACTATGGGCTACAGCTTCAGGAGTGCCTACCTCACTGTGCTGCCAGGTCAGAGGAAGAAACAGAGAATCATGCAGAGAGAGAATTCTCTTTGAATCAAAGTATTTTTAAACTGTAAAACTCCTCGGCTGCTTGGTTAACCTCGGCCCCTGTGAATTGACAAAGCATACACCTGTTTCTGTATTATCACCAGCCACAGGTGTAGGTTTTATTTCAATATTGGGGGTGGCACATAAAGTAGGGGGTGTGGGGGCGCCCCCTTAGGACATTTGCACTGTTGTACACTTCATTTACTGCATTTTGGTGATTATTTTTTTTTATTTAAGATTTATTTTTGGCCTTTTCCGCCTTTATTTATAGTGACAGTGAAAGATAGACAGAGAAACGTGGGGAGGAGAGTGGGGGAATGACATGCAGCAAATGAGCCGCTGGGTGGAATCGAACCCGGGCCGCTGCGTCGGGGACTGTAGCCCCTGTACATGGTCGCCTGCCCTACCCGCTGAGCTATCCAGGCTCACTTTTTGGTGAATTTTTATGGACCAGTTTACACTTTTTCTGCATCAATTTATAGTTGATACAGAAAAAGTGTCACAGGAAAACATTCAGGCAACAGGTGGCGATTCCAGATATAATGGTGTGTGTATGTATCTAATTATGATTCCACAATAGATTGTATGATCTTGTATTTCATAGTTTAAGAAAATAAAAAACAGAGATGACGGAAAACACCCACCTCTGTGTGAGCAATTGTCTAGTAAATCTTTTTTTTATTGGGTTGGGCAAATGCATTAATTCACCACCATCACCAAGCAGCATGTTGGCTTACATTACTCAGCTAGCAGCATAACAAATCGTACTTTAACCTCTAGCCAGAAGTTTGTATTGTATTGTCTTTAATTGCTTCATCTCTCACTCCATTGCAGATCGGAAGCTTCAACCCAACCCTGTCCCCACAGCAACGTCCTCGAGCCTCCCCTGGCCCGTCATTATCGGAATACCAGCAGGTGTCGCCTTCATCTTAGGCACTGCCCTCCTCTGGTTCTGCCAGTCAAAGCGCACCTGCTCCTCGTCTTCTTCTTCTTCCTCTTCTTCTTCATCCTCCTCTGCTCTCCCCGCCGCTCAGCGTCTGCCTGCGGCCAATCGCGACCGAGCCTGTCCGACGGTCCCTCCTCAGCCAGCCAACGGGGACAAAGATTGTCTTTCTTATGAGGATTACATTGCCCATCAGCAGCTGCTCCTGTCTCAGGGAGGCACCGGATTGGCTCCCAAGGTCTACCCAAAGATCTACACGGACATACACACACACACGCACTCGCACGTGGACGGCAAAGTGCACCAGCATCAGCACATTCACTACCAGTGTTAGCAGCGAGGCGGGCAGCGAGCTTCACATTCACACGTGGACATGTTCCTGTGCATACAGACTCACAGCAGATAGAGCTGATATACAGAGCAAAGAACAAGGAAAGCACATGCAAGAGACCATGCAGATTCATATCCGGAAAATTGGGATCACGCAACTCTGCTGCAGCCACATGTTGTGTGGACTTACTCAAGACGTGGACGATGAAGAATGTAAAGAAAGAGAGTCTTTATTTTCAGCTAATTTGGAAGCGTTTAAATCGAACAGGGAAAATCCCCAAATATGTTTTAGTCAAGGGTTTTTATTATATGAAATCCTATTTTGTTTTTTTCTTCAGCAGCCTTATTTGAATCTACGATGAACTGTGCAGTTATAAGGTAACTTAAAATAATATATCTGTCTCTACTCTTTTAGTACTTTTTACACCACCACAACCTCCTGTGTAACAGTAGAAATACACTTGGCTTACGAATATAGCTACTTATGTATATAAATGATTATATGGCATTTAGCATGCTACTGCACCCTGGGTAATCTACAAAGAGCAATATAGCATATGTGTAATGTAACAGTTTAATATCAGAGTGTATCTCAGGCATCAGCCCAACTGAGCCACAAAAAAGAAAAAACACAAATCATGGCAAACTCCGCTGTATCCACAACCTCAGCAAGGACAAGAGACGCTGGTGTTTGCTTTTTACCGGGCCCACAGCTGCTCTGCTGAATGTCCAGCTGCTATCTGGGTGCTTTGTGAAAAAGAGCAGATGTCAAACTGAGCTACAGTTTGGATCTCCTTCAGTGGATTCATTTTAGTCAAAGCTATGGTGTGATTTTTCAGAAAACAGATTGCAGGAGTGGTCATTACATCTGTTCCTTCTCTGGCGAGTACCGACAAGTCCTGTCATTGAAAGCCCCTTTACTTTCTGGAAACTGGTGGCGTTTTCTGTTTTGCATCACATCCCTTTCGGCCTTTTTGTTTGATGCTCACTGACTGTAGAAGAGAAAAAGCACCATGAAGGATATCACTCGCTAGCCAAGAGCACAAAGAGATCATCAGCAATGCCTCAATGTACAACGGTGCCTTCTAGAAATTGCTTCCAGATTTTGTGGATCATTGGTGGATCTTCAGACATGTCGCAGACTCTTAGTAATCAGTTTCCAGACTTAGAAGGTTCAAAAGAGAGAGAAGTTTGTATGAAGTTGTTCACGATGAGACTCTTGAGTCCTCAGTTTAACACGATGTGACGTGAGGTGTATTGGAAGAGGCTTTATCTCCACACCTGGTTTGTTACAAAGCAAAAAGGACTCATGTGTTGTCTCCTGTTTCATCCATCTGTGTTATCTACAGAAGAAAGGTTTTCAGATCCCCCGCAGAGCCCCCAGTGATCAGAAATATGGAAGATGTTAGAGTGAAAAAGGTTAAGAGATGGGATGCATGATGGGATAAAACTGAGTCAGTATTTCTCTGAACTTTAGAGCCATACATCGTGCAGAACTCTACATCGATCATTATCGCAGCACTCAAGGATGAGCACATGTAGTACACCAGCTGCTCCTCGTGTTGTACGATGCCCATGAGGTGTAAACATTTCTTGATAGATTCAAAAATATGAACAGATATCATGTATGTTTTGATCTATTTGTCTGCACATTTACCAACAGTTTGACTGACCTCGTTCAGACATTTCAAATAATCGACAAATTTGTTTTAAATGTGCGTCAGGGTTTTAAGCATCTGCCTGTCTGACTTCAGTTTAGTCTAATGTTAATGCTGTTTAAAAGCCCTCATACCCACAATGCACCTCCGCAGGTGTGTTTTCACTATTTTGGCTGATTAGACGTGTGTTTAATAATGTCTCTATCACCCTCCTTCTTATTAATACACTAAGTTTGAGGCTTTATCAGATGATTTAACTGGAAACATCTGGAAACAGGGCTCACCAGCTACTGTTCTAACACAATTAGAGCATTATATAAATGATACCAGACATTCCTGTTTGGTTAATCAGCTAAAGCTCAGGTCAGAAACACAACACTTTCTAGGTTTTGCATTTGGAATTATAAAATGTTTCACAAATTTTTATCGCCACGAAAAGCCCAAATCTAAACATTGTTTTTAAAATCATCTGTAAAGTCAGCAGTAAATTTAAATTTCTCTCGCAATGCTGTAGTTCCCTGGATTTTCTGCTTAGAGACACATTGACTCGTCTTCTAATTCTGTACATTTATTAGAACGGCTATTTGTTCTTTTACCCTCCACGGATCAGTGTGTTAAAAGCTCTCAGCGGTGCTGGTAGGTCTTGGGATGTTACCCGCCGCCACACCACGATAAAATCATTCAGCCTCAATAGAACCTCAAAGAAAACCAGCTGCAGCAAACCTCAGCGCACAGCCGGTATCCGCAGACTCTCTTTCGCTTTTTCTCAGGTGTCCGTCTTGTTGTTTCTGTGCGCGCTCACGAATCTGACCACTACGTATAAACTTTGTAAAACGATATGCTAAGATAAGATTTAGGTTACAGCTGTTTTACATTAGAGCGCTCACCGAAAGGCAGCCATGTGTTTGGTTGAAACAGTAGGCCGAGTCTGTCCACAGAAACAAAAAGAAAATAAAAAATAAAAAGTTCAGAAATGTATTTAAGTGAAATGAAACTGTACGCTCGCCATGGATTTGACTATTCGTATTAAGTTTCGGTCTGCAACCCTTTCGTGAGGCTCACCGAACACGACTGTGAGAACTTTACGAGGGTGTGTTTGAATGACCATGTGACAGGAAGTGATATATTGACATCACCTGGTAACTTCTGTGCTTGTTCTTCACCATTTATTTTTGCACATAAATCTTTTAAACTCAAGAAGGACAATGTACACGTACAGTATATTTTTATAGAGAATTCCTATACTCCTGTTTTTACTTTCATATTACTCTCTGGCATTTTATCTGCATCCACAAAGGACTGGCAGGTCTGCAGGCTTTAAAGGTGGAGTCAGCGATTCTAATCCAAAACATGCAGTGAACATCTTCTCATGGTCTGATTGTTGTGTGCTGAAAAAAAATCAGGCGCATGCTCTCTATATGTCTTCACCAGCTTAGTATAATCAATAGTCTTTCTCTAGAATCACAGACCCCTCCTTTAAATTCATGCAGATAGATTCAAATACTCAAGTTGCTTGTTTTATGAAGTCACCTAAAGTAAATGAGTTAAATACCTGTGAAGTTCTGACTGTATGGTCCCTGTTGTTCATCCTTTTGTCAGGTTGCTCCTCTTAGCTCCTGTACAAACCTACTAAATGAAATCATCAGAAAACGTGTGCTTCTGTAAATGATTGTGCTACACTTCCAAATAGAGTTTATTTAAATGCCTCTCTGGTAGCAGCTTTAACTGCAAAAACACAAACATTGCATTTCTTTTCCTTTCCCTATTTTTTTCTCCTTTGAAACATCTGCTCCTAAAGTCACCTTGAAATAAGAGCTGAACTGTGTACATTTTATTAAGTGTTTCCTCCTGTTTGTAAATGGGAAAACAGTGACTTCTCATTATCAGTTTTACTCATTCGTGTGTGAGATCCTCTAAAAGCTAATGGACTGCCAATAGACGGACTGTGTACATGTGCACTTACCACTAGTATCTACATGGAATGACATTAGTGTCAAAGTTATAGAATGCGTTAGAGGGTTTAGTGCTTTGGACCACGCAGGAGATGAGCGACACGTCGGCCCACGAAACATTGTAAATGCAAAATCGAGGAAAGATCGGAAAAGACAGTATGCTTCTAATTTATTTTTCTTTTTGACATGTATATTTTTTCATATAATTGGGCATTATACTGCATGAATGGATTTTGTGTTATAGTCATAATGTAAGCTGTGTAGCAAATACTGCGTTCATGTCATTGTAAGATACTGTATTTATACGTGCTGACAAAATATACGAAATTTTATCGATCATCTTCGTATCGACAATCTTGTACAGTCTACCGTCATTTAGGTTAAAAATTGTTTTCCTCCCATTGTAATCATGTTATTGGTGCCATTAAAAAAGTAAAATCTTGGGTGACGTCGCCTCTGTTCTTGAAGATTAGACCACTTTCTGCCACATAGACACAGACGGGGATTCCGGTTCAGTCCTGCACAGCACCATGGGACCGTCTTTAAGTGAATGTCCTTCTCGAAATAGTTGAAGTCCTTCAGTTGTGAGAGCTGCAGCCGGCGTTTCGTCTGTCAGCGTGTCTGTCTGGGGAGATGACAGATGGACAAGCGTTGCGTGCAGACGGAGAGTGTGAAGGCACAACGTCTCGCTCCTCTCTGACTCATTTAGGAAAAGAAGACGATGAAAGAAAACTCTGTTGAAAGGATTGGGCACTGCAGAAGGTTCGAGGTGGCAACAGGGCAGAATGTGAGAACGGCGTAAGATGCAGACGAGTAACTTTAAAAGTGCGTATTCTTTGCGTTTTTAAGCTACGTTTGGTTCGAGCTCTGCTTCTGCTCGACCGTGACATTGTCAGATGGCGTTCTTGAAATAGTGTGTTGAGCGCTGGTGACAGGCTCGCATCGTCCATCTAACCCTCTCCAACAAACGTATTAAAGCAGTTTTTATGATTTTCTGGCCACTTGAGGGCGGCACAACAACCTTTTGACCCAGCATACGCATATTATCACATTATTCTACGTCAGTACAACGAATCTCTTGCCAAACAGTTGACTATTTTGACGCATGGCAGATACAGATTCACCTGCTGAATATCTGGGCTACTACCTGCTTAATACTTGAGTATGTTCAACAGCTTGTGCAGCACCTACTCAGTTTGATGCGAGGCAGGAAGCTTATTGTGAGTTTTTCAGCGTTTTTCCTTGAAAGTGTCAGAATAAAAGAAATAAGGGCAAAAAAAAAAAATGAACAGAAGCATGCAAAAGATCGGATTGGTCACTACGTACAACCTCTTTGGCAGTTTACATAGTTTCTCCATTCATTGTTGATGTGATGAAATTGATTAGTGCGCCTT